ACAGCAGCCTCACCAAACCCTGGGAGTGAATTCCAAAAGAACCTTTAATTTTGTTATGAAAACACAAGCTGTAGTCTCACACTGATCACCACACAGGACAGGCCAAGATATAGGGAGGCCCAGCTGCCAGTGGAATACCTATGGAGCACATTCCCATATCCTGCAGTAGACTGTGCATCAGACATGACCATCTTGAGCTGATAATGGTTTGGAGGTTATTTGTTTGGTACTACTGAATTTGTAGCACAGAAGTAACTTCTGACTTTTGTTCCTTCTGTTCATGAACATTAGCAAATGAAAAAAACCCCAACATTTTGCCCTGTGCCATTCTGCATCCTGTCCAACATCTGTGTGTATCTCTTGATTTTTCTTTCTCAACATTTTGGATGAACACAACACAAACTGTAGCTTCAGCACTAGCACCTCCCTGTTTTTCACACCATGGAGTCGTTGGGAAATGTGTACTATATACAGACACTCCTGTGGTAGAAACCCTGTGCCCTGTGGGCCACATTTCACAAGGAGACCTGCAGACCCTCAAGCATGTGCTTGTCTTGCTTGTTGCCCCCACCGCTCCCCGCCTGTGGCTTTCAGCTCAACAACTCCTTTCTGCCCTCAAATTTTTAAGAGAACTGTGGTAGCCTAACTTCCTGTCAACTGCTGCCTTGCCTTCTGAACGTGGCTGTCCTCTGGTAGTGGCGAAAGATTATTATTAATACAGTAAAGAAGAATGAAGCTGCTCTATAAAAGCTGGAACACAGCTCAGGCACAGCTTCAAGCTCTTACTGTTACAGAGATCGAACTGTTCGGGCCTTATGCAGGAGTTTTTCATGGGAAATATGAAAGGAACTGCATGACATGGATACCTGCAGTGCCAGGAGACCAGACTTAGTGACCCAGTGACGCTTCTTCCATCCTACATGCCGAGAAAGGTGTAACCCAGAAGCTGGGAGGCTGCTCCAGCATTAAAGACTTAAAAGGACATTCTCTCAAGAGGATAGCTCTGAGTATCTGGTTCTGTGCACAGGGTCTAGGCTTGTTTCAGGTTCTGGGTGTTGACAGGATGTTTTCTCAGTGCAGTTTGTTATTAGCAGCTGATAAGGCTAAAAACACCTCAAACTATGTGCCTAACAAGCATCACTGGGTTGACCTCGGAATAGAAACTAGCTATAACTTAACTCTGAAGGAACCTGATGGAGAATGTCAGTGGTTTTATAGAGTTGTCTATTAACATTTTAGTGTCTGTGTCACCACATTAAGGGTTATATTTAGTCTGATTTTTATAGCAAATAAAATTTAAGTACAGATTTTTTCCCAGGTTTGGTTTTTCTCTTTTCAAAGCAAAGTTAAAAGATACAAGAATTATATCAAAGCTTATGAGAAAATGAAATTGCAAGGGGGTACAACTAACTTGCAAGGTTGTCAGAAATATTTTAAAGACTGATCTTCCTAAATCTGTTGTACAGGAGTCTTCTTCTTAGTCTCCAATTTTCCATCATAACTCTCTCCCCTTGCTTTCCTACAATCCCCCCCAAGTCGCAGAGAGTATACACGTGAAATTCAACATACCTAGTTCACAAAAATTCTTTGAAAGCAGCCCTGCACATTGCAGACTTTTTTGGCTGGGCCATAGCAATGACTAAGCAATGGGAAAAGCCTCCCTTCAGCTGTACTGTAAAGGAAAATGTGGGTGGGGGAACTGGGCTTTCAGGGTCGAAGTCATTCAGCACTCGGGTGGCACTGTGGCAAAGAGGAAAGAGGAGGACTGGGTCTGGGATGGGAGGTTTCTCAGATTTCCACTCTCCAGCCATCCCTGTAGGGCCAAGCCAGCGACGGTGCGAGAGAGGGTGTCATTATTTGACTCAGCATGTTCCTAAGCCACAAGAGAGAAGTGACGTATGTAAAAAACTTGTCGCTCACTCTTATCTGATAAGAGGGATATCAAGGAGTTTTCTCCACTGCCTAGACATAGAGGAAGTCCTTCTTTGTCCTTGTATTTCACTTTCTCTGTCAGTATGCCTTCCTTGATGCAATTATTGTGACTTTACAGCCTCTAACACAAGACAGGAGACTTCACAGGTTTAAAGACACGATATGCAATCACAGGCTACCACATCCCCAAATACCCATTGTTTAGCTTCCCATCTACTCCACCAGCTTCAAAACTGTTTTCTGATATAACTGATTTAATTTAGTAATATCCCAGACAGAGCCATCTCACCTCCCATGAATTTGGTGGAAGTCTGCCTGGACCAAATCCATGAATTACGCTGCTGGACCAGCAAATGAATAAAGTCTGCCACATTTCTGTGATGCTTCTGGTAGAAAATGACAGTGCTTCACCTACTGCCCAAACAGCGTCTGGTATTACTGTGCAGCTGTTCTTGCACCATCTTAGCCACAATCAATTTTATCTCCTCTAATATCATAAACTGCCTTTTGCAGAGCAGTGCTGCACAATGACACAGACCAACTCCCTGTGTTGTCCCTTCAAGCCACATGTGTCTCAAAACACATGGAGAGTCATATTGTGAATTAACTTAAGTTTCACAGTGATTCTGAAGTTGTCTGGATCTGCAAACAATCTGCAGGGATATCTTTGCATGAAACAATGCCAGCCACCAAATGACATCAGAATTATTCGAGTCTCATTACACATCCACGTGGAAAGTTTCCAACCTATCCGAATAAAAATGCATAAAATAAAGGCTGTGATAGCATGACCACCTACTGTAGCCCAGGCTCAAAGGAGTTTCTCAAGAGAATCCACAGCTGAAATAATGACAGCAAAAAGTAGAAGCAGAAATAATCACCAGCCCTGCTCCTTGACTACCAACACTTCCAACAGTACACTCAAAAACTGGATTGGGAATAAATGCATGTACAGTCAAGTCACCAGTAACCAGCTGCAAAGAAGATGAATGTCCACTTCATGAGGAGCAGAGCTAAGTACTCTCTTCCTGTAAAGAACACCACTATCAGAAATAATCTCTCCATCCTCTCAGCAGTCTCAGGGAGGTGTTGAATGACAAAATAAAATTTTGCAAAGCTTCGCAGGAATGGAATGAAAGGAGGTGGGATAAAAAGAAGTAAGTATTGGCTACCATATGGTTTCTCAAACAAAAGATGCCACTGATTTCCATAATAACATTTAGCTATAAATTAACACAACTTTAGAATAAAACTTACTGAGATACTCTGTACTTCACAGTCCAGCTGTGCTGCTTATCTAAAATTATTTCAAGACATGCCCATAGGAAAAAAAAATTAAAAAAAAAAATAAAATCACACCACCTTTTCTTCAAGAAATGACTATGTGGTAGAAGGAAATATTATTTCTTACTTATTTCAGTTTTCATTTTTCAGGATTTCTGTTCCCTTTCACCAGGAAAGATTCCGTGTGTGCATGCATGAGACCATGAGTGCACTGTGTTATCTACACACACACCTGTAAAATCTGTTCCTGTAAGCAATCCATTTTCTGAAAGATGAAAAATTACTTAAGCACCTAAACAGCAAACACTAAACAGTCATTTGTACACAGAAAACAAACACTTGAGTCTGCCAGACAGAGCTCTCACCAACCTAAATGCTCAGTTTTAAATGAACAAGGTGATCCAGCCTGACAGGCCAGATTCATCCACCAGAGAGAAACACACAGGTGCATTTTATACAATGGTAGCATATTACACACACTACCAGACACCAAACTGAAGTCCAAACTCTGTGTAGCTTTTGTAAAGCATCTCCAAAGCCATCTGAAATCTTCAGGTTTTCAGAGCTAAAGATTTTCTTCAAAAGACACTTGGTCATCTTTTTATTCACCACCGCGAAGGTGTCCAAAAGACTTTAACTAACCTCTGCTAATTCTACATAGGAACCTTTTAATGGTAATATCATTATATTGATAATAATTAATTAATTACAAGACATACAAGTCATTTAAAGTTGGGTTTTTTCCTCTTTGTGATGAAATATTAGGAACAGTGACTTTAAAATCAACTGATTCTGAGAGCTGGCGCTATGTCCCTAATGCCTGAAGAGACTTTTGCTTGGATTTCACACAACACAAATGCACTTCTACATTCCAAAGAGAATTCTCAGGTCTCAGTATCACATCTCCTTTGAAGAGATTAAATTACAAAACCAACCTCAAGCCTAGCTGCTGAAGGAAGTGTTTAGCTGCCACAAGTGACAGTGTCCCTTGGGACTCACCAGGATTCAGTCCCTGATCTTCCAGTACTGCTCCCATCCCAGCAACGGGCATGGATGCAGGGATTCACCTCTCCCAGGGCAATGTATCTCCCTGCAATTTTCAGCCCCAGTGGGTATGGCCTCCACAATGCTGTTAATATATCTGGTACTGGTTCCAAGCAAAATAATTCATCTGGCTTAAATGCCAAGATGAGCTTTTAGTCGCACCTCTAACAAGCTCTAACAAGCTGAGAGCGTAAAAATGGTGGTTCATAGATACCAGGGGGAGCTAGCTAACAAACATCCCTTGGAACCATAAAGTAAGATAAATACATTTAAATTCTGAAGAGAAGTCTTGTCATATTTCTCCAGAACAGTACAGAAGAGCTTCAGATGGGGAGATTCATTAAAAAATGCAGCATCTTTGTTTACCTAAGCCTGTGGTTTCTAAGCAGCTACTTTTTACTACGTTTATTTCTTGACTCAAAGTGAAAATGGGAATTCACCCTTTTCTCTTTTTTTCCTGCCCAATGTGCAGATGGGGCACATTTTCTCTCGCTCCAGCCATCCCTGCCCCCCCACGCACAAGCTTGCATAGATGCACCTAGCCAGTGGAAAAGAAAAAAGGGTTACTCATTAATCCATTCTACAAAGCTTTCCAAACTGAAATGGGTGGGGTCTGCATCTCCAGCAGGGAGCAATATATAGATAGGTGCAGAGCATACCTGGGCACAGCTCAAACTGGAGTGTTAAACTTAGACAGCACAACTTTGCTCCTGGCCTATTTTAAAACAAAACTCATCAGGATGGAGAGGACGATTATTTTCTGTATGCTTTTCTTCTTTTCCAGTACAGTGCTGGCTGCAGCTTCACACAGAGCAGTAAAATACAGACAGATTCTCCTGGTAATTGAAAAGTTAGAACACGCAGTGAAAGATAAGGTAAGCAAAGTATTTGTCATAATACTGAAATTGTTTTCAAGCATTATGTGTTGCTTAGTATGTATCTTGTGAGGGGCATCACTTTCAAAAGTTTTCTAACTTAGATTTGTTTCATTGTAGGATGTTGAATGGCTGCATACACCTGAAAACCCTGTGGTGAGACTGCTTTACCATTTCTTTAATTTTAATTTAATTTAATTTCTTTAATCAATTTGATTTTGTACTGGTTTATTCCATTGATAAGTGGCACATGCCTTCTTCTTCGTATCTCTGACCTAGTACTCTAAACTCAGCTAGACTAAGAATATACTTTTATAAAAGTTTCTTATTTCTAAATATTTAATAGCAGAACTGTTTATATTTTGCCGTCCTAATTACTGTTTTCCTACCATATGTGTATTCTAAGCCACTCGCAGATTCAGAGTTGCATGTGATCCATTTACTCAAGAAACAGTGTTGAGAGTGAGGGTTCATTTAAGACCCAGATGAGCAGCAGTACCTTTGGGGATGCAGGTTTTGGGAGTGGAAGTGCCATGAGCTCCAAAGGGACTGCCTTTCCCTCCCACTGAAGCTGAATGCCAAGAGTGGCACTGTAAGGCCATATCACAGAGCACTTCCTCTCATATGTACTCACACTGGTCTCTCTGAGACTGTTTGTATGCAAGGGTTGTGCTACCAACAGGAAGACAAAACTGCATTCTGCAAATAATCTCTGTGGACTATAACTAGTTAAAAATACAAGAACAGCTCCCCACGAATCCCTTTCTAATTCTGATATTTACTTATACGTTATTTATTGCTAATATTTTGCATCTTCTAAGGTCAGGAACTTCTTATATGTAGTAAATTTGTAATTCCAGACTCACAGAAAGTCTGTGCATACTCAAAAGTGGCAGGATGGAGGATGTGTCACAAAATTAAATGCTAATGATAGTAATAACATGTCTTAAAAGCTTAGAGGGTAAATGCATCCTGCTTTGATAATCCCCAACATGCAACAAAGCTCTAGAGAGAACTGTGGCTAATATAATATTATACTTTTGTTATCAGCTGTCTTAAATTTTTGAGCCCTGACAACTATTTCATAACACAAACAATGTAGACTGACATATAAAAATAACCATTATGGATTATTATGCTGCAAGCATTCTTACAAAAACTATCTACTCAGGACTGCAAACTCTCTTGTAAAGCAGCTTCAAGAAGGAAGGAAAGAAACTCACCTCATTTCACACAAGTTTTGGTTAGCCTCCTCCTAGGCTTTACAGTTGGCTGCCTTTTTTACTTGCCAAAAATATACAGAAGCAGGACCAAAACAGAGACGTTCCTTTGCATTGCTGGAAAGAACTGCTGTGCACAAACCCAACGCCCTCCAACTAATTGCTGGAGGTTTTTTCATTAACACTCTTTCTAACTTGTGGTGTCAAAGTGAAAAGGAGGAGATGATTAGCTGTCATTTTACTACAGTGTTTGCTGCTACCTCTGAAACAAAGCAAATACAACTAGTGACTAATTGCTTCATCAGGTTGTTGGGTTTGTTTTTTTTTTCTCAAAAAAAACCATGCTCACCTCAGGAAGGAAGACAACATTTCACTTGCAGCTTAGGGCTTTACAGTCTGATTCTGGGAGGTCCTAAGGTACCTCTGCTGAAAACTAGAGAAGACAGAGAACTCACGTATTTAGAAAGTATTGAACTGATACAGGTTCAACTTCTGATGAAAAGCATTTAAAAAATATTAGTGTGCTAATAGTAATTATCACCAGCAACCAAATTAATGAACTTTTCATCCTACAGGGTGACTAAGATATGAATTACAGTGTGCCGAAGAGGCACTTGGGGTGATTAGGTGCCATCACACCCTAATGAAACTTGATTTAATCAAAAGTTGTTCATATAACTGTATTTCAAATATCAAAAATACTGCTTTTATGATAACCTGCTTATGCCAGATGTAAATTTGGTCTTGAATATTCAAGAAGAAAACTACCTTTTGTAACACTCAAAATTAGGTGGTTTATCACCATCTGTTTTGGCTTCCTTGAGGTTCCTCTGCGTGGACTGTTAGTCCCAATACAATCCCACACAACTTCCTAGGGATGTCAGGCGACATCAACTCAAGGAAAATCATGCTGAGGCTGAAAAAGTAATTTTAATGCTGAAGTGATTCCAGAGTGCAGGGAAGATAAACTTTCTTGCTGGTGATCAATAGTGCAGCTGAAGTCATAACACAGTGCTGATTTACACAGGATCAGTATCTAACCCCGCCGATCACTAATTCTGGAAGTGAGGGCTTTACAGGCTAATCTGTGAAGTTAGTTTGAGTCAGATGCAGAGCAGTGCTGCAAATTGCCTCTGAGATAAATATTTAAATATTTGCCTAGCCCCTTTCAGACATTTCCAGTGGTCTGTGCTTTTTAATGCCTCTTCATCGAAGTGCTTAACCCGTGACCACGTACCAATCCTTGCGGTCGTCTGACTGTTGGCCTGCCTGCAGCTGAGTGTTAACTCAGCAAAAAAAGAAAGGCAGCAGAGATGAGAAATGCTGGTTTCTCAGCTCATCACGGATGAGACAGAAAACGTTTTCAGTTTCAGCTGGAAAATCGATCTCTTTTTAAAAAACGAATGGTTTTTTTCCAGTAAGCGAGACCAGTTCCGGTAAGATGCTTGAAACAAACACAAATGTGTGGCTTTTAAGGAAAATAAAATGTTTTCTCTAACCAATATAAAATGTTGCTAGTAAGATTTGCTATAAGCAACATACATGGAGGTTGCCTTCTTGTTGCCTGGTCCTTGCCCAAGCAGCAAAGTGCAGTGACATCTAGCAAACCCAAATGGGACTCGGTTTTGGTAGCAGTTGGTTAGGGTGCAAAGCAGGGATGATGGCTTTGGAGCCTTTCTAAAACGTGCAATCAGCAGTCCTAAATGTTTCACTTAGAAACTGGCTTCAATAAACACTGCTTTTGTTTCTCTGTTGACTATTAGGTTAGTTTGGGTGGTATTTCCTGTATTCGTTTCCCATGTTATCATGTGAGAACATTTCAACAGTTCTACATCAACTCTAATTATTAAGGAGGCAGTATTAGAAATGGCACAAAAATTAGGATGAAAAAGGTATATTCCCACATGTAGCACTGAGAGATATTTGTAATTTTTTTTTAAATAAAATGCTCATGCTTGTGAAAAACTACTACAGGTAACATATACTCTTCAGGAGCATTTTTTTTTCTACTGCTGTCATGATTAATATCCAAGTGGAAATTTTAGTTAGAAAATACTAAGTGTTTAAGTCATTAATCCAAGATCAGGCAAAGTAAAGATCTCTTGCATATCTAAAACTAACTTTAAAAAAAAAAAAAAAGAGTACAATTGAATATTCTCAATTAATATCCTGGATACTTACTTTCACACATGGACCACAACCTAACCACATGCAGGAAAAAAGCACTGAAACATTTGCTTTAAAACAGTTCCTTCTCTTCCTGCCCCAGGAGGGATGTGTGGACACAGCTCTGAGCTGCTTCAAGAACGGCACACTGCAATTACAACCCTTAAACAGCCAAGTGAACGCTACGTTCACCAAAGCCATCAGAGTCTTCAGAAAATACACCATCAGAAGTCCTGGAAAGGTAGGATTTCCTCGCAGTGCTCATAATGGTGACCATTGCCCCTTATTTTCTATAGCAGACACCACCTGCAAGGGTAGAATTGCAGAAAGCAAACTCGTTAGGAAAAAACAATCTGCTTTTCATTACTTCGGAAATTAAAAATGTCCAATTTTTGCACTTTTGGGAGAGGCATTCACCGGGATCCTGAATCAATCACATGTATGTACTTGGCAGCCACATGTCTGCTGGCAAAAGGACAGGGATCACTGCAAAGAAGGTGAAGGAAAGGTGTCATTACTAAATTCTCTCCCTTTCTGAAACAGCTTGTGTCGAAGCTTTTCCGGCTGGAAAAGGCTTTGCTTACAACCCTCGTGATTTTTCAGTGAGAAGGCTTGAAGCCTGATTTATGGTTCTGATGTGCTGGTTAGAAGTGGCATGATTTTCTTTATTTTCCAGCAGTGTGAGTCTTCATGTGAATCCTACAAGAAGAAACCCCCCAAAGAGTTTTTGACGAGCTTTGCAAAACTAATCCAAAAGGTAAGCAGAGCTGATTGCTCCTAGGTGCTTTCTACATTTTGTAAACTATTACAGATATCCTTATTTTACATTATTTCTAACAATGCCTTGTTTTTACAGTTACTCAAGAACGAATATAGCGCACAACAGAGCTGAAGGCTGCTGAAAATCTACTTCTTAAAGCAGACACTATGTTATTTAAGATGTGAAAAATGTAAATATTTTTTAGTGCTCTTATGCTGTGTTGTGTGTGTGTGGTAAGTGAAAGCTTCTCCCAAAATATTAAGGAGTCTTTTCTGGATGGCTGTTCATAAGGTGGATGCTGTTTTGAAAGTGATCCTACGGTGAAAATTAAATTTTAATTTCACAAAAATAGGTTCTCTTAAGGGACTTAACTGTCACCTTCTGCTGAACTAGAAAGACTTGAGATCCTATATTTTTGCTTTGATCTTACATGAATCCCATGCAGAGATGTCTAAATTTTTTTAAAGAAAATGAACAAATATACCACACACACACAATCTGATTTATAAGCTCTGTACCTTAGCTAACTATGAAAAAAATATCCCGCATTTAATTGTCTTCTAAATACTGGAAAAACATTTACAAATGTTACAAATCCATGGCATGTATGGCATGGGTCTGACCTGTGATTAATGGCACATCTGCCTCAGGTTTCAACAGGGAGTGGAGTAACCCATGTGCTCTAAGTAAAGAGACACAATTTTGAGTGGAAAAACACAGTTCAAAAGGTGGAATTCTACCTAGACTCCCCCAACATAACATGATAGATAGAGCACAGGTATGACTGGCTGGTATGACCAGCCACCCCAAAAGGTCCAATAAACACAGTAATTGAGGATTATTCAGAGTGAAGCAGCTCAAATGCATATTGCTCTTTCTCAGAGGACAATATTTTACACTCATATTCATGTACTATATTAACACTATTCCTTCTCTCTCCTCTTCATTTGTTTTAACAGTTTAAGCTTTATTTACAGTTTATCCTTTAAAATCTGTCAAGTTTTTTGTTATGTGGAAACCTGCCTGTACAGCTTCTCAATCCTGAATGTTTCTGTGGAACTATGGCCAGAGATACCACTGAAACTTTTTAAAGTAAAAGTGAGTATCACAGCACTTAAAAGTACTTTTAGCAGCTTAATTATATACCACCATATTCTGCTTGCAATGATTCTGAACCTCTGGACTCATCCACCTGAGCAGCAACTGCTAATTTATCCCCAGAGAGATATTAGCCCCACATGAGGGAACTGCTCCTGGAAGAGAGGGTAAAGCCTTCCAGTAAAAATTAACCTTTCAGGTAATTTTTCTCTCTACTTAGTAGAAATGTGGTATAGACAGGAAACTGGAAAACTACATCTAGTGTTACAATGGAAAGTTACAAGCTTAGTTACCTCCACAAATAATGAGGCGTATTAAAAATATTTCCATTCCTGCCAACGTCGGCCTAAAGGAAAACTAATACAAAAAGCTTTGCTGCCTCTACATTTTGCTGTCCTGAAATGTGAACTTCCTAATGGAGGAGGAGGAAGGAAGATCCTTAGGGCAACAACAAACCAAGTCTCCGCAGTGAACTCTCCTTGTTTCTGGCGATGGCCATTTTGATTTAGAGCATCTTTTTCTTCTACTTTTCTTTTTTTTTTTCTTTTTTCTGTTTCAAAAACCGCTTTTCAGACTCTGAGTAATGCTCTATCTCGTACCTCAATGTTTCCACATTACTGCATGAGAATGAACATTCTAAACATCAGCTACCACTCCTATGTACGTAATCAAGCTACTAAGTGTAAAGGATGTTCTTTCTGCACCTTCTATCCCCGCTTCTGACTCACCCGCCCATGAAGTCCCTTCCCCACCAATTGGTGAGCAATATGCAAGGCTGCTGCTGAGACTGCAATGCATTTTAAAGCTACAGAAGCAGAGAAAGTTAGGGGAAAATTTAATTTCAGATTTGGATAAAAACAACTGGGAAAATATTAAAGCAAGTCCTGCAGTTGCAGTGTACCGACATTCATATTTTTATGGAGGAGTTTAACTGAATGCCTTTATTGTGAATTAAGTGCCTTTTTTGGTGATTCTCAGAAGGTCAACCAATAAACCAGCACTTTTCACTCACTTCCATGGAATATTTGCATATGCAGAGTTTTAGGGAAAGAGTTTTATATTTTTAGAAAGAATATAGTATATATTTTTTATTTGTAAATGTCTTTTCCAGTAACTTGCTAAATGCCTTAAATCAATATTCTAAAAGGGCCTATTCTAAAAGACTGAAAAGTCTTGTTGTGCAGATGAAATGTTTTTAGCATTTTAACACGAACAACATTGTACATTACCTATTTATTAGCAATCATTATAAAGCATTGAGAGGGAACTTTAGTATCTGGGATGGATATTTTATGAATGGAAAGAATTCCCTACAGGAATGTCATAAGCTAACTGGTTACTCCTGCCCACACTGCAGCAATTTCTGGGTTTTGTACAGGAGACAGCACGTAATGCAGTAAGCAATGTAGCTATTTCTGTTTAGTGACTTGCTCCAGCCTTTTAACTATGGGTCTTATCACACCTAGCATAGTGCTAAAGAGGTTTTCTTCCTTGTTTTAAACATAATATACTTGCTTGTTAATTGAGGGCATTTCTTGTACCAGCAGAACGACAACCCAAAATGCTCATTTGTAGGATTCAAAAAACTAGTGAGAAACTGCAACAAATGTAACTTAGAGGGTTAACTGCTCTGAGATCTTGCAGAAAACCAAAAGTATTGGACAATCCAGTCCAGCAATGCATGGAGAACATTAATTACAAAACTTTCACAGCTGACGTTCATTAACACCGCGCTTCTGGGCAGTGTCAGCGCAGCCACAGCGGGCAGCTCCGTACACTTCAAACACGCTTGGATTCACATGATCCTGTGGCTCCGTGCTAACTTTGATTTGTCAGAGTTATGGAAGGCTGAGGGTGTTATTCAGTGTGCTGTCTGAAGAACAGGATGAATGAAGAACAGGAAATCTGTGCACGACAAACCAGCGTTCAAGAAGACATCATCTCGTTCTGCAACACCGTTCTCAGAATAAGAAATTAAGATGCACCAGGAGGAACTTGTGATCCTAGGAAGGACCATATCACACATCAGGATGTGTACACAGCCTTGACTTACTTCCTTGTGTAAGATGGACTCTCTTTGTACTAACTGCACTCTCTGCAGAAACAATGCATTTTTCATTAACTGAGTGTAAGCCTTTCGTAAAAGCTCATTACCTCCCAGGGAGGCTTTACAATATATTTATGACTTTGATCATAAGTGCACTTTTCAGGCACTTCAAGATGTGTTTTAGCATGGTATATACAATTCTGTGTAATATTTACTTTTCCAGAGAAGATTATTTTTATACCCACTGACTCATCTAATTTAATTATTTATTGCATTTCTGTAAAGGGAATGTTCATACTAAGGACTATGTGGTCTGATTAATTTATATGCCTGTGATATTAAACAATTTTACCTAACACAGTTTTCTCTTGTTCTATTCTTTTAAAACTTCTTTCTGTAGTTATCTGAATGAGAAGTATTCCCTGGGGAACAGTTAGGGTCTTCCATCCCGTAAATTACATACCTGGTTTGGAGTGGGGTGACTTGTTCCTGAGTATTTCTGCTTCTCTTCACCGAGTGAACAGATGACTCAGAACTGACTAATAGTTAATTCTGGCTCCCACTGGGATTGCCTGGATTAGACTCTATCCTGGTTTTCTTTGAAAACCATTCCTACCCTGACAGTGGCCGATCAGTGAACTTTGTTAGCCTGTACTGTCATCAATTTATCAGATCAGGGACATGGTATACAAAGTTTATCTTCTTCATATAACCATTAAGAAGGAGTCGTTAACTTTTTATTGTTCCCATCTCACTTGAAAATATTTTTTTTAAAAAACGGGCTTCTCAGGGTTAATAAAGTCCTTCTGGCATACTCATGGCAGGTTCAATGACATCACCCAGATTTCTTTAGACTGCCATGAACAAAAATCGGATAACATTCTGTGTAGAGTCAAAACAGGAAAAGTCAAACACATGAACACATAACTATAAAAGTAACAATTATCCAGTCTGTTTTTCACTCTTCTCTCTCCTCATCCTATTTTTTCCTTGCTTTGAAATGTCAGTCCTTTTATCACAGCCCAATTTAATAGGATGTGCTTAATTTCAAAAAATAAGTATTATAGTTTAAAATGGTAGCTATGTTTTATCTTTTATTAAAATGCCTTTTCCCTGAAATGTAACAAAAATGGATTAACAACAAACAAGCACAAAGTTCTAATGAAAACAAACACTAAACAGTTGAACAGCTATTCCTCTCCTTTTTAGAAAACACTGACTCAAATAGTAACTCCTTTCATTGTGTTTTCTGTCATCACACAACTGCATTTGTTGGGCCTGATTTCCTTTAAAAAAAAAAATCCTTAAAAAATAAATGGAAACAGAGAGGAAGTGTCATAAAACACTGGAGGCTTCAGGCATGAACTGCTCCTACATCCAGGACAGAGGGTGATGTGCTCACTCAAAAGAAGAGCCAGCAGACTCATTCCCAAGGATCTGGATGTGCAAGCTGCCTCCTGCTGGCTCCTAAACAGTTCAGTGGTGGTGAACACTCGAATCTGAACCTTAGATCTCCCTGAGAAGGGCTTTGGAAGGAAGAGCAAAAGGATAGGGTCTAATCCTCCTGTCTTGGCACACAAGAAACCAGTGGGAGCCAGGGCTGCTGGGATCCACCCAGAATTAACTGTTAGTCAAGTCTGAGTTATCTGACTTCACTCAGTGAGGAGAAGTAGAAATACTCAGGAACAAGGCACCCCACTCTAAACCAGGTATGTATTGCAGGGGACTGGAAAACCCACAGGGAATAGTTCTCACACAGATAACAACATATTGAAGCCCATTACTAGATATGATCAATCTCACTCAAACTGTGTAGGATTCAAATGCAAGCCAAAAGGTTGAGAGTAGTTTCTTTGGCTAACGCAGTTTCTCCAAGTGCATATTTGCTAAATACACCACAGTCTCTCTTTCCTGATAGAACACAATTTTGCACAGATACACTGCTTTTATGTCTTACTTGCACTTTTCAGTATTTCCACCTACAGCTACAACCACGTTAGAAAACACAGGAAAGAAAAT